GCCTCGCTACTAGGAGCAAGGACGCTACTAGGGGCTCCTGGCCTCGCAGCAAGGACGCTACTAGGACGCTACTAAGGGGCTCCTGGCCTCGCTTCTAGGAGCAAGGACGGGCTCCTGGCCTCGCAGCAGGGACGCTACTAGGGGCTCCTGGCCTCGCTACTAGGGGCTCATGAGATTTGAACAAAGATTTGATAGGAGGCCCTTGTGTGAAGAAGGGGCACGAGGGGGTTTGCCCCTCGAGTCCTCCTCGAACCGTGGTTGCTTGAAGTCGAACGTCGTGGTTTCAGCGTTCTACTTCAGGTCAGACTCTCGAAGACGTTCTCGCTCTCCTCGGAAGTCACGGAAGGACTGTTGTCCGAAGGACGTACATTAGATGCTCGAGGTCTTTTGGGTTTAAGCCGCCTTGTCGGGCAGAGCAAGTGTGTTGCAAGTACATGATGTGTAACGTTGTAGTTGCACCCAATATTCTTCCTACACCCCAAGTCAGCATACCTGGATGAGCTAGTAGGTTGGAGGCCATCGCTAGTTCTTGAGGCCATCGTGAGTAGGTTGGAGGAGTCACTTTCATGATTGAAGCTCGATTTGTCAATACATATCACGCTTTTATGCTGATGCCTGCAGGAGAGCCGCAGCAGATCACGGCGAGGCCGTGGTGAGGGTGGCAAGGCAGGGAGAGCAGAGTGGCTGAAAGTCGGGGCGGGTGCGCTTTGGGAGAATGCTCAGAAAGAAAAGAACAAAGGGAAAAAGAGAAAGGTCTAAACCAAAGGGAGAATGAAAAGAAAAGAAAGAAGCCCAAACAAGGCACTCTGCCCGCTCATTGGAGCCTGTAGACTGCCGAGGTCACCTACACCAAGCATCACAAAGACCATGAGAACAAGAGTGACAACACAGAAGAAACATATATGGAGACACGTGGAAGCTGCAACTCACGTTTGCCGACCTGACTGTGCCTGAAACAGTTCTCCGAGGTATATAGCCGCACAGGTGACAGAACTTGTTTGAACAAAGTCTCCATCATCATTGGTGAAATTGCTTGCAGGCATTAATATAGCGGCTCCTGGCCTTTCTACTAGGAGCAAGGACGCTACTATAGTGATCGCTACTAGGAACAAGAAGCTACTAGGGGCCTCCCTTGCTGCATCCTTTTCCGCACGCACCGCAAGCCCACACACCACCGCAAATGCACCCCGCGCGACCTGCCCTGCAACAACCAGCAACAACCAATCACACACACACAATATCAAGAACGAGAGCAACAATTAACGCCACCAAGCACATCAAACTACCGCAGCCCGAACACTCACAACCACAAGATTAAGACCAAAAGAAAGAGAGTGAGAACAAAAACATGAAAAAACAAGCACCCAAAAAATCAGAAGAGCAAGATCACAAACCAGAACAACAGCATCAGCCACAGCAACCGGAAGAACAACCAAGGCCACAGCATCCTCAAGAACAAGAATCAATCAACATCAGAAGCTAGAAGAAGAAGCATTATGAGAACAACACGCCGACATTGCCAATGACAGAGACCTAAGCCCAGATGACCAGACCTAAGTCCGAATCAGAAGTACAAGAAAAGAAGGACAGTTACAACTCCCACCACAACAGCAACCAAAGAATGACAATCACTGCCGCCGCCGCGGCCACCGCAACAACGGAGCGGTGACGACAACAAGTGGGCAGTGTCCAGACCGACTCCAGTCATGGACTCCAACCTATATAATAGCGATGGCCTCCAACCTGCTAGTGATGGCCTCCAACCCAATAGCGATGGCCTCCAACCTACAAGCAATGAAACTACCATTTGGGGCTCCGCTTGAGTCGGGAACTGCAATCTTTCAATCTATTCGCAGACTCTCGGCAGGCGGATGAAAAGCTTGGGAAGCCTTTGCCGGAATGGGGTAACATAGGCATCATTCAGGAGCGCAATCTTTCAGGAAAGGAGAGAATCGTCAATAGTCCAAGTTCTGCTCTCAGATGCGCTCGTGTAGGAGCTCAAGCCGGCTGGCATCGGCTTCATCCGACCACACTCGGGCAAGGTGGATGACAAAGACCTCTTCTTCCACAAGTCTGCTTTAAAAAACAGACTCTTGTTTCAATAGCTATTATTTAGGTTGGAGGCCATCGCTATTATGTTGGAGGCCATCGCTAGTAAGTTGGAGGCCATCGCTATTAGGTTGAAGGCCATCGCTAGTAGGTTGGCCATCGCTAGTGAGTTGGAGGCCATCGCTAGTGAGTTGGAGGCCATCGATTAGGTTGGCGATCATCGCTATTAGGTTGGAGGCCATCGCTATAGGTTGGAGGCCACCGCTATTGGGTTGGAGGCCATCGCTAGTGAGTTGGAGGCCATTTCTAGTGGGTTGGAGGCCATCACTGCCTAAGTGTAAGGAAGCATGAGTGATCATGAAGGACATAGGACCAGCCCGAGACCAACGCCACGTTTAGCGTCCATTCCTTTGGGCCTTCAGCTGTTCAGCTGAGCCTTCTTTGATTCAGCTGAGGTAGTTTTGACGCATTGCAGATCGGAGACGAGTGCACATATGATGCAGTGCTCGACGAGTCCAAAGGGAAGGCCGCAGCCAAAAACATCGTCCTGAAAAATGGAAACTCTGGCTTCAGGCGAGGGCACGCTGCGGGCATGGTCTTGACATGTCTCCTTTTCACTTCATGTTAGTTTCAAATGCGATTGGCTTGTGCCACGTTGCTTAAATATAATGAATTCAAGTTTTCACCCACTGTTTAGATCGGCTTAGCTTCGAGTTGCTACTGATTGACCGAAGTGTGTCAAGAACTTCTCTTGCCAGAACGCCGATTGAATTTGTTTTCCCCAAGGGTGTTGGGATTGAATTGTTACTGATTCGTTTGTAGAACCGTTTGCATTTTGTGCTAGACCTTGGGTTTGGCATCCTTTACTGAGGGGCTCCCTTTTTTTCACCCTCGAACAATGTTTTTTTCACCCTCCCTTTTGTCCAACCCTCGAAACCTTTCTTTTTAACCCTCAAGATTCCTTTTTTCCCCACCCTTTGGAACCTGTTTTTTTCTCCACCCTCCCAAAACCTTTTATTTTCACCCTGCACCCTGTCATTTTCACCCTGTAGCATGTTTCTTTCACCCTTCACCTTGCTTTTTTCACCCTTCACCCTTTCTTTTTCACCCTGGACCCTTTCTTTTCAATCCTCCGCCGGTGAAGCAGGTATCCCATGGAACCTGCACAGAGAACGATGTCACCTCCGGTTTGTTTCACACCGCTTGTCCCTGCACCTGCGAAACCCTTTGTTTTCACCTCGATAGCTTCTTGTTAGTAGCCCTTCGGAACCCTCCAGAAACTGCGTAGAGACTGTCCGGAACGACGGGAACCGCCGGAAACTGACCCGACAAGTCAAGCAGGCTGAACCAACCAACACAACAACTAAAGGAAGGAGAGGTAAAAAGAAAGGGTGGGTAGCCCACCAGCAGCAAACAAACCAAGCAACCAAACGTTTCCCCCAAATGCTGTCGATACTTGCTTTGCATTGGTAGCCCACCCAACCAACAAACCAAGCAACCAAAACGACACAACCTTGTGTGATCCCACATGCTGTCGATACTTGGTTCGCATTGCGGGGGAGGCGCTGTGCCCTCCCCCGCGCCCCGCCCCGCCTTTATCTACACAGCATCCATCCATCCATCCATCCATCCATCCATCAACCAAGCACACATTGCATATCCATCACGCACTGTATCACGCAAGCAATCACAGCAAGCAAACCAAGCAACCAACACACCAAAAAGTTACATTTTGGTCCCTGTCACTGTATGTGTCTTCTCCAAATCCAAGCAACCGGCTGAGCCAACCGACACACCAACCAAAGGAAGGAGAGTTAAAAAGAAAGGGGCACCAGCAACAAACAAACCAAGCGACCAAACGTTTTCCCCAAATGCTGTCGATACTTGCTTTGAATTGGTAGCCCACCAAGCAACCAACAAACCAGCAACCAAAACCACGCCACACAATCCTGTGTTTTCCCAAATGCTGTCGATACTTGGTTCGCATTGCGGGAGAGGCGCTGCGCCCTCCCTTTATTTACACAGCATCGACCCTTCCATCCATCCATCCATCCATCCACTGTATCACGCAAGCAATCAACAGCAAGCAAACCAAGCAACCAACACACCAAAAAGTTGATTTTTCTCCCTGTCCATGATCCATCCATCACTGTATGTGTTTTCCCAAAATCCAAGCAACCAACAAGCCAAGCAGGCCGAACCAACCAACACACCAACCAAAGGAAGTGGGATTATAAGACAGGGTAGCAGCCAAACTGTGTTTTCTCCAAATGCTGTCGATACTTGCTTTGCATACACCAAGCAAAGGAAGGAGGGTGAAAAAGAATGGGTCGAGGGTCAAAAAAGAAAGGGTAGAGGGTGAAAAAAGAAGGTTCGAGGGTGAAAAAAAGGTTCAGAGGGTGAAAAGAGGGTGGAGAGAAAAAAAAGGGCGGGGTGAAAAAGAAAGGGTTCAAGGGTCAACAAAAATGGTTGCCCTTTACTGAGCACTTTCGACGAGAGTGCCACTTTTTGCCTTTAATTGCGGGATAGCCAGCCGCAGCTAAATTCGAACAAGCGCGGACAATGTTTGACAAGACCCTGGGCTGAGTTGTTCTGTAAACAGACCTAGACGGCACTCCTCGCAGCAAGAACCAGGGGAATTTGACACTCCAACTGAAAGGTTCTTCAACAACTCCGTGGCAACAACACGTCCAATAGTCTTCTGAATCAACTTTTGACTTTTAAATTTTCAGAGCTTTCAGAGCTCTTTGCACGCATTGATTGAACATCACAGTGGTCGCAGTCGAGGACCTTAGGCCTTCAAACACGCTGTCCAAAGCCGCCCGGACTAGCCCCTTGAATCGCTGAAGCACAGCATCAAACAACGGAAGGGCCTCCATACTAAGAGCGATGGCCTCCAGCCTAAGAGAACAAGAAGAAGGGAAGGGTTCCTTTAAGAAGGCTTTTCTTTTGGTTATCCCTTTTATTGTGTTTCTCGGCATCAAGCTATGGGCTATTAGTCCACAAGCACGTTCCATCCACCAAGGCGCGGGGGTCGGGAGGACTCCCGAGACCGGCGCCGAAGATGACCGGACTGAGCCGAGCGGACCGGTTGGAAGGTCCGAACGTGAGGTGAGGTCGTTGCTGACCTGAGCGAAAACAGAAATAGACCTGAATGAAACATAGCGACATAGCGAGAGAGAGAGAGAGAGAGATGTGGTAAAGAATGAAATAGAATGAATCCTCACGAAATAACCCTGTTGGAACAGATGTAACTACTTGATGCATCTCGCAACTGAGCCAACATGCATCAGAATCCATCGTTCAATGTGGGCAACGGTAGAAAGAACTTAGACCTGAGGGATTCCACCAAAAAAAACATGAACAATTAGAGAGACACTTCATTTCTGGAGTATTTCACTCAAGTATTCATCTTCATCGGTGTCACAGATGTGTCACGAGGGCGGCAAGGCAGGCTTGAGAGAACGAGAATCGCGAAGGTCAAAGAAGTGCGCTTCGTGAGACTCTTGAGACTCTTGTGAGGCCTACGGCTACTAGGAGCGATCGGACGCTACTAGGGGCTCCTGGCCTCGCTACTAGGAGCAAGGACGCTACTAGGGGCTGTTGATCAAGGCCAGTTTTCACACAAGTGCATGGCCTCCAACCTAGAAGCGATGGCCTCTAGCCTAAGAGCGGTGGCCTCCAATCTACTTGCGATGGCAGGAGGCAGCCAAGGAAGAGCTCATTGAAAAACATTGCAGGGACTATGAACAAAAGCGCATGGATGACCTCTTTGCCCGGCCAGTTGGCTCAGATTTTGCGCGTGGTCTCAAAGACGGTGGCTTAGAAGAGAAGTCTTTAAAGGCTAAAGCCTTTAAGGAGCCTTCTCTCCTGGAGATCTCAAGTTGGCGATGCTTTTTTAAAGGCTGCAGTAAAGGCTGAACATGTTCGCCAAGCATACTTGAGCCATATTGAGCATCAGAACGTGACCGGGCCGTGTTTTTCAGGAAGGATGACCGAGCCAGGCGGACCAGAGAAATGTCGCTAGCCTCAAGTTTGAGTGTTAGCACTCAATGGCGATGGCCTCCAACCTACTACCGATGGCCTCCAACCTGCTAGCCATGGCCTCCAAGTGCAAGGATGTTGGGGTCGGCTGACTTAGGCCGTTGATGTTCTCCTTTATGTTTCCTCTTCCAAGGTTCGTGGACATCCAAAAGCAAATCGACCACAAGAACCTTGTTAAGGTCTGGGCCCCGTCAATACTACCCATTCCCACTGAATTGCCTCGTGGTGATTTCTGTCGTTTCACACACACACACACACGTACAAACGAGTATATCTTGTATTGTCTTGTGTGTTGTCTTGTGCGCCACATGCATTGAAGTCGGTCGACCGTTTGCTCGGGCACACAGCTTGAAGGACCCTTCCCGCGTGCTCTTGTTGAACCTTGGTCTTTCACTGTGAGCCATTTGCATCAGCGACGCCTGGAGGAACCCGAACCGGGCGCAGAAGGACTGCGTAAGCCAAGCACACCAGGACATGTATACTTCTTCCGCGCGCGCGCTTTGAAACTCATGGGGCTCATAGCGCCCAACACGCCCTGGACGCCGCGGGTGTTCTCCATCGATGGCCACTCTCTCCGATCTTTGGGCCGAAGCAAGTAACATTAGACCAAGCACTTCACCGGCAGAGGGGGCGATGTATCCCAAAGAGGATACATCAGGTGTTACACAAGGGAAACAACACGCATCGAGCAAGTCCATGCTGCAAGCTGTGATGGGCTGAGAAATTTTGGGATGAGAACATCGAGCGTTTAGCTAATGACTTGCCGGTGAACCAAGGCTTGCCTTAACACACACTCTGACATTGGTTTGCTGTTAACTCAGTTCCCAAGTGGAAGGAAGGTGGAGAACCGCAAGGTGAAAAGTCCAAAGATTTGAAGATGCAGGTTTGTGCACATCTGCAGTTCGCAAGAACAGCGGTGTCGAACGGTCAGCGCGGCTGCACATCTGCGGTGGAAAAGTGGGTTTAGGGGAGGAAACATGTAAGGACCATGGAAGCAAACCGATCCAAGTGGACAGCTTGATCAAAAATTTCGTTCGCAGGTACACACCGAGACGTCTCTCAGTGCTTCCCATCTCGCTGCCTAGCTTTGTTAGACCAGGTTAGCAGCGAGATGCCTGGTCCCCCTGCTTATCGTGATAGGTAAAAAGAAAGAAAGGGACCTTAGAAACAGGATTTGACACACACACACACACACGGAACAAAAGCGTTAGCCCTTTCGATTCGCCAGCCGTTCTCATCACAGTTCCAGCGGAGTTTTGTGCTAGCTTCTAGTTGCAAATAGGGCACTTGCCCTTTAGAAGCAAGGCCCATCAGGCTTGTCGGTGTTTTGCTGCTTGAAGAAGTGCTCCGACCTTGCCTTTCTTCAGGGGGTGGAAGACCGGGCTGCTGACTTGCGGCAGGCAGGTTGCTGGAACTTGCAAGGTTTCCACCTGTTTCTTTTTTCACCCTTGTTCCCTTGCATGTGCTTTATTCCGTGGGCATTCTTGGGAGGTCCTTTGATTCCCATCGAAACTCGAAGTTTTGTCCACAGTTTTCCCCCGAGTAGTCCAACCCAAGTGCCTCACCAGTGTCCTACTATTGTCAGAGCGCAAGACTCAGGGTTCCACCAATGGGGGCAGCTTGAAAGTAAAGTAATTTCAATTTGTTCCGCTTTTGGCTTTTTCTCCGTGTTTGTTGGAGGCCATCGCTAGTAAGCTTCGTTCGGTTTCTCCCGCCCTTTGTCTTTTTTCGGTCCTGTCGCTGCAGGTTGAAATGTGGCGGGAGAACACGGAGGCGTTCCATCGCGAGGAGTTGATGAAGCAGCAGGCAAAGCACACCGCCCGTAAGGAGAGCCACCTGAGCAGTGTCACAAGGCATTTGCATGTGTCAAGGTCAGCGCAGTCTGGCAGAAGGTTTGCTGCCAGCATTCTCCTAGCGGCTTAGGGTAAACACGTAGGAGGACTGGCTTGCCACACTCAAATGACTGCGCACAAAAAGCATCAAAAGCAAAAACCTCCAGGGCAGCCATTGGAACGCTGGCGCTGGGAGAGCCTTGCGTTTCTTGAATTTTCTTAAAGCATTTGTTCGAAAAGAGCATGTTTTGACACAGAAAAGTCCAAGCCCCAATGTTTTGACAGACCTTCTTGTTGTGTGACTAGTGACTAGTTAGTGGGAAGCCGCGTAAGGGTTAGCCAGGTGGTCGGAAAGCTAAGAAGAGCAAATGTTTGAGCCCACACCACAGCCATCACTGTCGCATGGATCAACTTCAACACGGCACTACGCAAAACAGCGGTAGATTGCAGTAGACTCAGTAGACCAAGGAGTATTAGGACGCTATTAGGTGGAGGCCATGGCTATTAGGTTGGAGGCCATTACTACTAGTAACAAGCTACTAGTAGCAAGAAGCTACTAGGTGGAGGCCATTACTACTAGTAACAAGAAGCTACTAGTAGACTCACTAGACCAAAAGAATGCTGCATGGGAACCGTTGGTCCGTCGTCCACGTCACGGTGTCACGGTGTCACTGCGCAGTGGTCGGTGATCCACATCTTCACTGGCGCGAAGCAACCAATGCAGTGAGCGGAAACATACCGTTTTGTTTGCCATTGGAGTCCAACGTTGGGTTAACTTCTGTTAACTTGCGGTGCTTGTCAATGTTTTTCTTCATCTAACGAATCTAACTTGCAATTTGTTGAAAGGCTTCTTGGGCTTCAGAATTTATTTCGTGGTTTTGGTATGCTTTTGAGGGCACGCCGCGCCTGAAGAAAGACCTCTGTTGGAAGAACGTGCTTGGTACGAGTGCTTGTGTAACTGACCTTTTGGAATGCTTTTCAGTTGCCTTTCTCGGTGGGGTTGGTTGGAGAACTGCTCAAGATACGCACGTCGCATGCGACTCTTTTGGGAGTCCGACGTGCCTGATCGTATGGAAGCGCTGGGGGGTCGAAAAAGGACTGATGTTATTTAAACGATTATAGCCTGATGGGGGGTAGGAGCAAGGCCGCTACTGGGGGCTCCCGGCCTCGCTAGTAGGAGCAAGGCCGCTACTAGGGGCTC